AAAACAGGTCAAACTCTTGTTTCCATTAATATTTTACACACAGATATGAATTGCTGTTGTACACAATGCGGAATATATATGAAATTAAAGATAATTCAATTCATCAAAAGACAGAGAGTACAAAAGTAAGAAAAATGCAGAGTAAAAATATTAGAAAGTTGGAAAAGGAGGGAGAGTGGTGTTTTGGGGGGGAAAAAAGGAAAATAGAAAGAGAGGGGAAGTGGTGGAGAGAGGTAGAGATGAGACTTGAGTCTCACCCTTGTTTCGTACTTCACTGAGCATTCAGCATCTTTCACCCCAGGGCTCTGTCCACTCTGTCCACTGTATGCGTGTGTGTGTGTGTGTGTGTGTGTGTAAGTGTGTGTGTGTTTGACTTTAAAAAGATGGGGGGAAAAAAACATCAATGAAAGAAGGAAGAAAGAGAGGAAGGAAGGAATGAAGGAAGGAATGAAGTAAACACAGATAGAGGAAATTAATAACAGATTGAGAAGGGAAGAATGAAAAGCAAACATATATGTGGAAACGGAGTCAATGAAGTGTTGAGCTTATTTACTTAAGTAAAAGTAGAGAAATATTCAATTCAATATGTACTGAAACAATGTCCTCACTGGACAAACAACAGCAGTGAACATTTTTTCAAATCTCTTTGTCAGAGGAAAAGGTGGAAGTATAGTATGATTTTGTTATAACACCACAAAATCTCATAGGAGGTTACGGTGGAAGGATGGATGTTTAAAGTGTCACACTTTGTCACTGGAGACCATTGTTCACATCTCATCTTCTTCAAATAGTCAAGAATGGTGCATGTCAAACACATTCAATTGCTCATATATATGTGTTCTTTTAAAATTGTAACTGTCCTATGGGTCATTTTGAAAGGCATTAACCACATTATATTGTTTTATATCAGTGAATTACTATGGATGCATTTATATGAACAGCTTTTTGGCCATGTTAGCAGTATGGCAGTGTCGGTCGGTGCATCACTTCGGTCCAAACCAAGCGGCAACATCCAAAATGGAAGTAACAAAAACTGCAGTTCCTCGAACAGCCACTTGAGGCTGGCTCCACACCTTTGACCCCTTTTGGATTAGCTGGTTAGCCGGGCAAAGTCAGGACAACCAGACAGATCTTTAAGAAATCTAAAATATATATATTTTTTTATGGATTACCACAAAATTGTTACTTTTTGCATGCATATGTTAGACTTAGTCTTGCTGTAGTTGGAGCTAATAATAACTTTTATATTTCGTTAAGTAGTTTAATCCATAACAATATATCATATTTCATAAACTGACTATAGATTTTTAATTTTAAAAATGAATCTGCAAAGTAACCATTAACTTTAGCTGTAAAAACATGTAGTGGAGTAAAAAGTATAAAGTAGTATAAAACAAAAACTATAACTGCCTCAAAATAACAATAAGTACATGACTTTAGATGTTATTACCACTGAATAAATTTGTGTTCGAGACAAGTGGTCACAGTGACCTCAAAAAGTGAGAGGGGACGTTTCTCTTTAACTTTCTTCTCACGGTATTTGAACCTACAACCTTGTGGCCACAAGACTGATTCTGAGAGGCTTCTGTACATGGTAAATTGACAGCTAACTGAGTTTGACAGAGAGTGCAGAGATTGATTCAGGAATTAATCAAACAGACAAAAAGACAGACACACACAGAATGAGAATGTGTGTGTGTGTCAGCAGATGTACAATTACAGCCTCTGGTAATATAGATAAAGGTGCACAAACACACACTTACACACATTTTAATGATTCTCAAATGCATTCATGGAAAATAGAAGTCTGCCCACAAATGTGAAAAAATAGCTACCAATTACACACACACACACACACACACACACACGTACACACACACACACAGACACACACACACAAAGTCCAGAATGTGAGGGTATCCTCGGGCTGTGCATTAACATCCTGTATGTGCTGCAGTGTTAACCGCCTGCAGTGCCAATCAGCTGAAATGCCAGTCTGCAGCCGCCAGCAGGAGCCTGAGTTGTTATATCCCGCTATCTTAGTGTTTTCTTTTTCTTGCTTCCTGCAGGGAGAAAGACGGAGAAAAACACACAGACAATCAGAAAGGTGGAGAAGGAGAGATAAAGTGAAAGGACAGAGGCAGAAACAGGTAGCCAATATGTTGACAGATGCTGACATACACGTTTTTGATGGATTTTGCTGTTGGTTTGTAATCTTTAACAAAAAAAAAAGTATTTTTCCGCCTACTAATGACAACAGAGTAGGCTAATGGTTTCTAGACAAACACTTAGCTGGCGGGTTTGTGATATTCACCACAAACAAAATGCTGTGCAACCACACAACTTTTGCCCAGGAGACTGGGGTTTGTGTCCCATGTGAAACACACAGTCAACTTATTTAAACTTTAATTCAATTCAATTCAGTTTTATTTGTATTGCGCCAAATCATAACAGAACAGTAGAACACTTTACACAACTATTTACAGTATGTCATGGGGATGGGTTACACTGGAGTTAGATGTAAGCTTGGTGCGTCACATATAGACACTAAAGGGTACCTTGTACATCTGTATTTGACACCGGTGGCGTGACAAAATGCCAGTATTTGACGCCCTGGGAATGAGAAAGCACTGAAAATTGAGGGTATCAATTAACAAAAACGTTTTAACATTAGATTACATTCATTTAGCTGAGGCTGTTATCCAAAGGGACTTACAATAACTGCATTCAACCATGTCGATATTACCCAACAACTCCAAGGATCATGCAAGTGCATGTGCAACATTTAGAACAATAAGAGAATAAGAAATAGAGAAAAAGGTTTGGTGTTGTGTTGGATTTATTTTTTAATTCACGGTCCAAAGTGCAATCTGAAAAGGTGAGTTTTCAGTCAGCAATGAAAGATGTGTACAGTTTCTGATGTCAATGGGGAGCTCGTTCCACCATTGTGGACCCAGGACAGCCAGCAGTCATGATTTTGTTGAGCTGTAGCCCTCCTTGTAGTGAGGGAGTAGCCAGCTGATTGGCAGTAGCAGAATGTAGAGAACTGGCTAAGGTGTATGGTTGGACCATGTCCTCGATGTAAGATGGGCCTGAGCCATTTGCAGCATGGTAGACAAGTACCAGTGTCTCAAATCGGATTTGAGAGTCCACCGGTAGCTGGTGCAGGCTGTAGAGGAGTGGTAAAATAGGAAATTACAGAGGGTGAAAATACCTCCAGAATTACTTTACAACTCTTAGCATTCAGAGTAATACAAAAAAGGGAAAAAGCTTTTCTGACTCTAGATCCCTGGAGTAGAGCAGTCCCATTACTAACAGTTATACACTGTGTTTAGAGATTCTAACTAAGGTTGTTGTGTATGTACTTGCTCTAAATTATAAATATCTGCCTATGAAATACAATTCTCCGTATCATTATTATTTCATACATGGGGTTCATAGAAAAGGAAAGTAGATTTTCTTTGAATAAAGGTTAAAAAAGGCATATGTGTGCGTGTTATGATTTTGTGTGAAGTTCCTTTTATCTTTTGCCTGTGACACTGTTTGCATGAAACTCATCGCTAAGAACTCTATAAAAAGAATTTCTTAAAATATTAGCCGTCACCGGGCTGTGAGCGCCCATCAGCCCCCCTGTCAGTTCAGTTTGTCTGTTGTTATTTATTTGTATGGGTCTAATTAGCACGAAATCCAGCCTCAGTGTGGTGCTGAGGGTGGGGGTGGTGAGACTGATGACAAAGAAGCTGCAGTATGTGCAATATGCAAACGACGCCGTTTACTGACGACTGCCAAGACTGTGTGTTGTACAGTGTGTGGAGTGCAGCTGTGTGTGTTTGTTTAATGATACAATATGAAATAATGAATAAATACGGTTACATTTTTAAATGAAGCAATAAATAATGAAATAATTCAATAACTGAATTATTATTTCATCATTCTTGTTACTCTGACTCTTACATCATTCACACAGTAACACAGTTATATTGGATTTGTTGTTTATTTCAAAATGCCCTTTTTCCAAAGTCAGTTTCATATCGATATTTTCCCCAATTATTCTCTCATTAAATTAAGACTTGCTTTAATTAAACAAACTAGAGCAAACTCCAATAAAACAGTTGACTATGGAAATAAAAAATATGAAATAACCTTTTACATTTAGAAGCTTAGTTTTAATGTTAAACATGTTGTCAGTTATTTCATTCTTAAGGCTCTAAACATTATTCAATTTAATTATTTCAAGGCAGTCTGCTCCCATCATCCCTGACTTATATATCAGTAGAGAATGTATGAATGAGAAGGTTTTACTGACGTAGATAAAGATTTTTATTAAGAAACTGCAGCACGATATGAAAACAGTGTCTAGTCCTGTGTTAGATGAAAGTTGGCTACTGTAGTTTGTTCTGCTGTTTTTGGGTGTCAGAGAGTCAGCGGTTAATCAAAAGTGATCTATTGGCACAACAGTCAGTGGCTGTGCTGTGTCAGGATGGTTGATAGTCATAATAAACAGCAGTGAAACACTCAACTGCAGTGATACAGGTTCAATTTACCTCACAGGGTCTCTAAAGGGAGGGTAGTGCTCACTTATTGACAGCACCCTCAGTTATTATCACCAGCTCCACTCTTTTAGTTTATAGTTTTAGTTTAACGTTAGGGTTCAGGGTTAGCTCTGATTAACCCGCTGTACACTACCTGCCCAGAACCAAACAGGCAGAAAAAGTGACAGCGACTATCTAGTGAAGAAACCTCATGCAGCTGATGGGACAGATATTAAACTCAAGAGGAGACAAATCCAGATCTAAAAGGAGGAGAAATGTTGGACTAACATCCATCATGTTGACACAAACTGCAATGCGATGATAATGTTGTGTGTCTACTGAAATTGTAAATAGACAACTATTCGCAAACACATTAGCCTTAAAAACTTTTATGGTGATAATATGGATTGGGTATTTTCCAGCTTGTTGGGGAGTTTCAAATACTTTAATTTGTGGTATCCTTTACAGGTTCCATTCCAGAGGCCTGTACTACGAAGCAAGTTCAACAAACCAAGGATATCTTTTCGTCATCTGGCTTCACCAACCCAACAACCGCGATCTCGCAAAGCGGTCACACAACGCTGGTTATCCACTCGGTGAGTCAACTCAGGATTTCCCAATCTTTCCCAATCATTTTGGATATAGAAAAAGTGTCTTTTCAGCAGCCTGTTCTCATTCCCCGGGCTGCACAAGGTACCGTTTGGGTTACATCTAACTCCAATGTAACCCAATCAGTGTGACATAGTGTAAACAGTTCATGTAAAGATGGATGGGTCAAACAAACTCAGGACTTTCACCCAGGAAACAAGGGTTTGTGTCCCATGTTAAACTGAAGATAAGGTACTTATTTTAATCCAAATCACTAAACTGTTTTACTAGGTTATCTACAAGTTAAAAAGGTGTCTTATACAAACGCTGAAGGGTACCTGGGGCATCTGCATGAGACACCAAGGGGCGTGAAAAAGCGGCATCGGTATTTAACCACCTGGGATTAAACTGTGTTGGTCCCAAACTGTTTCCAGCTGAACTCCTCCTTCCTCCTGAAGCCTGACCAGTCCAGATGAAAAACAAGCTAAAATTAGAAAATAATTGGAACGAGATGTGTGCTGTGATCTGCTGATGTGAATATGAAACAGCTGATGAGCGGAGCCTCACACATCCGTCTCAGTTGTGGTTTGATTGGACTAGACTGCAAATGAATTGGTTAGGAGGGACAAGAGGGGATCGGCTGCCAATGACAATTCACTTAGAACAACACTGATCCTTGAGTGTGTTTGTGTGTGTGAGAGAGGAAGCGCTGAGTCTTTCTATGGGTGCAACTTCAGTGTGTGTCAGTGGGAGTTTGATTAAGATCAAGTTGGCACTAGAGGGCATGTGCGTGTGTGTTCTATGTTTAATTTTGAGACTGAGTAAATTAAATCCAAGGTATGCATACCTTACATGAGTGTAGCACATATGGATGTGTGTGCGTGTGTATGCTGAGTGCCTGTAAATGAAGTTCGATTGAACAGGCGTTCCAATCAGAGCCTTTTAAGTCTTTCATTAGTATTCAAGAAGTTGCTATATTTTGCTGTGTCCATACTGTGTGATATACATGCTGTTTGGTGTCTACTGCATGTGTGTAGTGTGTAGTATATATGTAGGACTTGTGCTGTAAAAGACAAAGAAACAAAGAAAAAGCTGTATAGAATAACGCATAATATGGAACAAGGGAATCTAGATCTACGATACATTCCTATGTTCGTGAAGTGGGGCTTGTCGTGGCAGAGATACAGATTTTGAGCAGTTCTCTTAATGATTCATGTCCCACATTAATCATTCATAAGTAATTAAATATATAAAGTTTTTTATACACCACATTTCAAGAGCAGACATGACAAAATTAATAACATTTCTAGCAAGACGCAAACTAGATAAAAGATATCCTGGGCAACACTCACTGACTGCATATGACACGGATTAAAATATCCCACTCGTTATCCTCTATGCATCTGTTGTCTTGATAAACCACTGTCCTATTTTCCAGCGTTGATACACGTCAACACTGGGAAATGTATTATATCAACTGTTTATCACATTATCTCTCTGGATTGGTCCATCCTGTATGACTGCTGGCAATTTGGCAATTTTGCATCTAACCAGGCAGTGAGAATGAAATACTGAGTGAACTAATAGAGCACAACAAGCAGTGCTCAGTATGATACTAACCATGTTATAAACTGAGAACTCCTGAATTTACTATCAAATTACACAATTTAGCCTCCAAGATGGAAACAGCTGGTTGGTGGGGGAATTGTAACACAGCTGCAGAGGTCTGTGTCTGATTGAAGACAAGGCCAGTTTCAGCCATAGAAAAGCAAAACAACGGGTCTCCTCTGCTGAAGCTTAAAATAAATAATATGGTCTCTAGTTAATAAAAAGCTGCTAAATATTCAGTTTCCAGCCACATCTCTTCCAACTAAACACACTTTATCCCTTAAATATGGTGAAAAACATTACTGTGTGTCACTATTGATGCAAGGTGTGTAGGAGTGCTTGTTATTTTAGCAGGCAAGCCTGGGGTGGACAGGTTTTAACAGCTCAGGGAGGATAAATTAAACACGCCCCCAGACTCAAACCTACATCCAAATGTGTATGTTGTTACTCTCTCTCTCTCTCTCTCTCTCTCTCTCGCTCTGTGTGTCTGTGCGCCTGAGCCCTTGCCCTCTTCTCATCACTTCTTAGAATTTCCTCTTTTAAGTGTTGATCCCATAATCCACAGTTGCAGAGAGGAGACAGAGAAACAGAGAGTGAGGTGGAGGGGAAAAAAGTGCCAAACTCCAAATATAGGTCTTCAAATTAAAATATAAAGAAAATAATTTAACATGAGACTAATTGAATGAGTGGATATGTGGGATGAGTGGCTTGTAGTTGTTTTGTGTACAAATAGTGTACACAAATGTGCTTCCTGTACAAATAGTGTTCTTTTTTTTTTTCTTTCACAAAAAGTACAATTTCCACATTTAAATCTTCCTACACCATTAAAAATTACAAAATCTATGAAAATGCTAATTTCGTTCATTTCTAAATTTGTCTACTGGACACAAGATGCACTTCACTGTAAAACCCATGATGTCACAAATCATGCTCGTAGGCCCCGCCCATTAAAAATCTGATTTTCAATGAGCTCCGAGAAACTTTCCACTTTCAGGAGATGAATGTGAGAACATCCTTCTAGTGTCAAACTCTGCACAGACATTATTCTGCACAGTGAAGCTCAAACATCCAACTATAGGAACAAAAAGTTCAAAAAGTCAAAAATATTTTTGAGTGGAGGGGAACTTTAAGAATCAATTTTAAATAAAAAAGTGAGTAATTATGTGGTCAGACCTTTATTTTACTTATGGTTTAATAGACACTTTGAATCAGGAGAGAAGTCCTTCCTTCTTCGCTGTGACAAATATGAGGCAATCCCATGTGTTCACTTATAAATCATAATGCTGAAGAGTCGGACTGAAGATTTTTATTTGTGGGAATTTTCGGTGCGCCTTTTTCCTTCTCTGCCTCTTTAAACTATTGCTATTTTGAGTACAACTTATCTCTTCACTCTCAGTATTAAATCAATTGAACTGCGCAACTGAACTGATATTGTTATTGATATGGCTGTGCTGTGTTGTGTTGTATCACAGTTTATTCATTGTGATTTGTCAACAATGAATTTACCTCATGTGAGACACCTTATTGCTTTTACAATAAAGCATATTTGAAATTGAGAGAGAGAGATGAATGGGTGGAGTGGAGGAAGGTGGAGATGTGGACGGATGAGGCCTGCATGGAGAGAAAACGACGGAGGTGTAGAAAGAGAGAGAGATAGAGAGAGGTAAGGCTGTAATGAAGGAGGTATTGATTTTCTATAGAAGCTCTTTAATCAGAAGCTATACTGACACACCCTGAGGGGGTGTGTGTGTGTGTGTGTGTGTGTGTGTGTGCGTGTGTGTGCATGCAGGGCTGAGCCCATTCAAATTACACTTCATCTTTTCTCTGTGGACACCTTGAGTGTGCGTGTGGGTTTCATGCTGTTATGTGTTTCAGTGTGTATGTGTGTGTGTTTCTTTGTTGTGTAAGTGTGTGTGTGTGGGCAGGTGGTAGATAGATAGATGAGGCTGCCCAGTAGATGGATGAGTGGAACAACCAGTCGTTCATCATCTGGAAAACAAGCAAGGAAGGAAACACTGTGATGGAGAGGAGGAGGGATTTAAGGGAGGGAGAAAGAGGTGAATGAAAAAAATAGGGGAGGGGGAAAAGAGGAAAATTAGAGGAAAGGAGCATGAAGAGAGAGAGGAAAAGAGAGAGGAGATGAAGAAGGAATAGAACTGATGGATAAAATGAGCTGAGAGTGGAAGACAGGATGAAGAGAGGAGAGTGAAGTTGAAGAAGTTTGAGAAAAAATAGACGATGAGATTCTGAAAAGGATGAGAGGAGAGAAGGAGCAAGCACAGAGGGAGGAAGGGTGAGAAGGAGGGGTATTTTGGAAGGAGAGATGAGAGGGGAGGAAAGAGGGGCAGGAAAAGAGAGGGAAATGTTAACGTAGAAGGAAGGAAGGAGGACAGGATAAGAAAATTTGAAAAAAATGAATCGAGAATAGATCAACTGACAAAAAGGGAGTAAGACATAGGGGAGAGAAAAAGAGACTGGAGGGATGAAAAGATGGAGTACAGGGATAGAGAAAAGAGAGGGTGATAACAGAGGATAGAGGGTGGAGGGGAAGTTAGTGTGTGATCTGAACTAATAGTGTCAAAAATGGAACTTCATGACTTCAATCTAATTTTTATTCTGTAGTTCTTTTCCCTTTAATCTTCATATCTTTTTCTCCTCTCTGTTTTTATTTCTCTATCATGAGATATCAGACAGTTAGACTTCAGATCTTGCAAAACCATCCTTGTCCATCCTCTTTCAGATGGTATAGATCATATCTGGAAGGAAAACCAACAGGAAAATATGAATCTAACATTTTTGCTGAACTCTTTCAGACTGAATCGTTTTCTTTTCAATCCACTTTTCTTACAGTTCCAGGCATCTATTGGTTTCCATTCATCTCTGCAGGGTATGAAAACTCAAGCAGACTCTTAAAGAGTACTTGTTATGTTATTAACTACAGAGAACATCAAGCCTGCATGGTTTTTTGTCAATGTTACATAGTTGCTGTGTGAAGAGTCTCCAATGCATTATAACAAGTATGGAAATGAATAGAAAGCAATAGGTGATGGTAGATTTAATATATACACATTTTAAATAATATGGGTTACAGTATTTGCAGTAAATGGGATAAAACATACAAAACCACCATTATTGTTCTTTTTTTAACTGACTATTTCAGTGTAAGTGTTTATAGTTATCAGCTTTAAGTGGAAAACCCTTCCTTGTTTTGCACTTGCAGGTCTAAGTTCATTCAGTCGGCTATATAATTGAATGTTTGCTGAAACAAAAATTAAAAACTAACCACAGAAAGGAGCAGGCAGTTTCTGCCTCTAAAGGAAACTTGCACTAGAGCCAACTTACCTCCAGTTGACTCAGTAGTGGCGGAAACATTAATTCTTGAGGATCTATAAAATCATTA